GAGCCTGCCCCCCCCAGTGCCGCGTCGCGCCACCGGAGCGCCCCCCCCCCCGGAATGCCACGCCGCGCTCCCCCCGCCGCCCCTTACCAGGTGCCGCCCCAAGCATGTGCTTGCGTGCCTGGTGCCTGGAGCCGGCCCTGCAAAGGATAATATCATTCTGGGGTGTAATAACAGGAGAGCCGTAGGTAAGAAATTGGGGGCAATTGTCCCACTCTACTTGCACTGGTGAGGCCTCAGCTGGAGTACCGTGTCCGATTCTGACCACCACATGTTAGGAGAGAGGTGGATAAAATGGAAAGAGTCCAGAGGAGAGCAACAAAAAACGATAAAAGGTTGAGAAAACTTGACCTATGAGGGGAGATATTTTAAAATGGGTCTGTTTGTCTTGAGAAGAGTGGGGTACACCTTATAGCACTCTTCCAATCTTTTACAGGCTGTTATAAAAAGGACCATGATGAATTCTTCTCTATGTCTACTAAAGGTAGGACAAGAAGTAATGGGCTTAATTTTCAGAAAGGGAGATACAGGTTAGATATTGGGAAAAACATTCCTATTACAATGGTAGTTACATTCTAGAATTGGCGTCCAAGAGTGGGTCTGGAATCCCTGTCACTGGAGGTTTTAAAGAACAGTTGGACAAACACATGTGAGGGATGGTCTAGGTCAGTGGTTCCCAAACTGGGGTGTGTGAACCCCGGGGGGTTCGCAAAATGTTATAGAGTGTTATCGGGTAAAAAAATCCCTAATGGCAGACAGAGCTGTGCCTAGGGACCCTGGGCAGCCCGGGGCCAGCGGCCCGGAGCCCCTGGACTTCCAAGGGCTAAGCAGATCAAAGCAAGCATCTCTATCACATTGAGGAGATTTAAACTTCAAGACTCCTTATAAGAAATGGAAAAGGAGGTGGATATTTTTTGCTGTTTTTAAAATTAATTAGGCAGCTAATGTTGTTTTTAAAATTATGATGAAGAACAAGTTTAAGCTTTGTTGTAACATGCGTTGTTTGTCTGGACTGCTCAAGACCTGAACGCTTGTGTAGGAGGAACTCTTTGAGTTGGCTTCTTAAATACCTTCATGCTGTTTCCCATCTGATACAGGATCCCTGTGCAAAGTGATACAAGCTACGACAGTGAGATCTTGGCAGAGTGTTGCCATTTTCATAACGTAATAAAAATACTGTAATGATAAATAATAATAAATAATAAATAGTGTGTAATAAGCATGTCATAAAAACAAATTTTATATTTCCAAGATCATTGATTTTCTCATTTATACTCAGGTAAAGGGGAAAATCCCTGGAAATATTCATTGTTAGGAGGGGGTTCGCGAGACTTGGCATTTTAGTGAAAGGGGTCACAGGTTGTTACAGTTTGGGAACCACTGGTCTAGGTTTGAGTGGCTCTGTCTCTGCGCAGGGAGCTGCATTAGATGGCCTCTCAAGGTCCCTTCCACGCCTGCATTTCTAGGAGTCTACAAGTGTCAGGGGATAGTTTTAGGCTGTGCTGTGCTGCAAAGAACAGGGAGGAGGGCTCAGGACAGGTTGCTACCCTCTCCGATTCAGCACAGATCTCGATCCCAAGAACATCACTATGGGTCAA